ATACCTCATTGTGGTTTTAATTTGCATTTCTCTGATGATTAGGGATGTGGAGCATCTTTTCATGTGTCTGTTGGCCATCTGAATTTCTTCTTTGGAGAACTGTCTGTTCAGCTCCTCTGCCCATTTTTTAATTGGCTTTTTTGCTTTTTGTTTGTTGAGGTGCATGAGCTCTTTATATAATTTGGATATCAACCCCTTATAAGATATGTCATTTATGAATATATTCTCCCATGCTATAGGATGTCTTTTTGTTCTACTGATGGTGTCCTTTGCTGTACAGAAGCTTTTTAGTTTGATATAGTCCCACTTGCTCATTTTTGCTTTTGTTTCCCTTGCCCGGGGAGATATGTTCATGAAGAAGTTGCTCATGTTTATGTCCAAGAGATTTTTGCCTATGTTTTTTTCTAAGAGTTTTATAGTTTCATGACTTACATTCAGGTCTTTGATCCATTTTGAGTTTGCATTTGTATATGGGCTTAGACAATAATCCAGTTTCATTCTCTTACATGTAGCTGTCCAGTTTTGCCAACACCAGCTGTTGAAGAGGCTGTCATTTCCCCATTGTATGTCCATGGCTCCTTTATCATATATTAATTGACCATATATGCTTCAGCTTATATCTGTGCTTTCTAGTCTGTTCCATTGGTCTGTGGCTCTGTTCTTGTGCCAGTACCAAATTGTCTTGATTACTGTGGCTTTGTAATAGAGCTTGAAGTCAAGGAGCGTAACTCCCCCTGCTTTGTTCTTCCTTCTTAGGATTGTTTTGGCTATTTGTGGTCAAATGTGAATTTTAGAACTACTTGCTCTTGTTCATTGAAGAATGCTGTTGGTATTTTGATAGGGATTGCATTTCATTTGTAGATTGCTTTAGGCAGGATGGCCATTTTGACAATATTAATTCTTCCTATCCATGAGCATGAGATGTGTTTCCATTTATTGGTTTCTTCTTTAATTTCTCTCATGAGTGTCTTGTACTTTTCAGAGTATAAATCTTTCACTTCTTTGGTTAGATTTATTTCTAGGTATTTTATTCTGTTTGGTGCAATTGTGAATGAAATTGTTTCCCTGATTTTTCTTTCTGCTAGTTCATTGTTAGTGTATAGGAATGCAACAGATTTCTTTGTATTAATTTTGTATCCCACAAATTTGCTGAATTCAGATATTAGACCTAGTAGTTTTGAAGTGGATTCTTTAGGGTTTCTTATGTACAAAATCATGTCAGCTGCAAACAGGGACAGTTTAACTTCTTCCTTGCCAATCTGGATGCCTTCTATTTCTTTGTGTTTTCTGATTGCCGTGGCTAGGACCTCCAGAGCTATATTGAATAAAAGCGGGGAGAGTGGGAATCCTTGTCTTGTTTTCGATCTTAAAGGAAAAGCTTTCATCTTCTGGCTGGTAAGTATAGTGTTCGCTGTGGGTTTGTCATATGTAGCCTTTATTATGTTGAGGTACTTACCCTCTATACCCTTTTTGTTGAGAGTTTTTATCATGAATATATGTTGAATTTTGTCAAATGCTTTTTCAGCATCTATGGAGATGATTATGTGGTTTTTGTCCTTCTTTCTGTAGTTGTTGATGTTGATGGATTTTTGAATGTTGAACCATCCTTGCATCCCAGGGATGAATCCCACTTGAACATGATGGATGATCTTTTTGATGTATTTTTGAATTCGGTTTGCTAATACTTTGTTGAGTATTTTTGCATCTATGTTCAACAGGGATATTGGTCTGTAATTTTCTTTTTTTATGGTATCTTTGCCTGGTTTTGGTATTAGAGTGATGTTGGCCTCATAGAAAGAGTTTGGAAGTATTCTCTCCTCTTCTACTTTTTGGAAAACTTTAAGGAGGATGGGTATTAGGTCTTCACTATATGTTATTAGGTCTTCACTAAATGTTTGATAAAATTCAGCAGTGAAACCATCTGGCCCAGGGGTTTTGTTCGTATGTAGTTTTTTGATTACCAATTCAATTTATTTGCTGGTAATTGGTCTATTCAGATTTTCTGTTTCTTCCTGGGTCAGCCTTGGAAGATTGTATTTTTCTAGAAAGTTGTCCATTTCTTCTAAGTTATCCAGTTTGTTACCATATAATTTTTCATAGTATTCTCTCATAATTCTTTGTATTACTGTGGTGTCTGTAGTGATTTTTCCTTTCTCATTTCTGATTCTGCTTATGTGTGTAGACTCTCTTTTTTCCTTGGTAAGTCTGGCTAGGGGTTTATCTATTTTGTTTATTTTATTGAAGAACAAGCTTCTGCTTTCATTAATTCTTTCTGTTGTTTTTATTCTTCTCAATTTTATTTATTTCTACTTTAATCTTTATTATGTCCCTCCTTCTATTGACTTTGGGCCTCATTTTTTCTTCCTTTTCTAGTTTCATTAATTGTGAGTTTAGACTGTTCATTTGGGATTGTTCTTCTTTCCTGAGGTAGGCCAGTATTGCAATATATTTCCCTCTTAGCATGGCTTTCTCTGTGTCCCACAGATTTTGTGTTGTTGAATCATTGTTGTAATATGTCTCCATATATTGCTTGATCTCTGGTTTTATTTGGTCATTGACCCATTGATTATTTAGGAGCATGTTATTAGGCCTCCATGTGTTTGTGGGCTTTTTCATTTTCTTTGTGAAATTTATTTCTAGTTTCATACCTTTGTGATCTAAGAAGCTGGTTGGTACAATTTCAATCTTTTTGAATTTACTAAGGTTCTTTTTGTGGCCTAGTATATAATCTATTCTTGAAAATGTTCCATGTGCACTTGAGAAAAATGTGTATCCTGTTGCTTTTGGATGGAGTGTTCTGTGGATGTCCATTAGGTCCATCTGTTCTAATACATTGTTCAGTGCCTCTGTCTCTTTACTTATCTTCTTTCTGGGTGATCTGTCCTTTAGAGTAAGTGGTGTGTTGAAGTCTCCCAGAATGAATGCATTGCATTTTATTTCCCCCTTTAATTCTGGTAGTATTTGTTTCACATATGTAGGTGCTCCTGTGTTGGGTGCATAGATATTTATAACAGTTATATCCTCCTGTTGGACTGAGCCCTTTATCATTATGTAATGTCCTTCTTTATCTCTTGTTACTTTCTTGTTTTGAAGTCTATTTTGTCTGATACAAGTACTGCAACTCCTGCTTTTTTCTCCCTGTTAGTTGCACGAAATATCTTTTTCCATCCCTTTACTTTCAGTCTGTGTATGTCTTTGGGTTTGAAGTGAGTCTCTTGTAGGCAGCATATAGACGGGTCTTGTTTTTTAATCCATTCAGTGACTGTATGTTTTTTGATTGGTGCGTTAAGACCATTTACTTTTAGGGTGATTATCGATAGGTGTGTACTTATTGCCATTGTAGGCTTTAGATTTGTGGTTACCAAAGGTTCAAGGGTAATTCCCTTACTATCTAACAGTCTAATTTAACTCACTTTGTGTGCTGTTACAAACACAACCTAAAGGTTCTTCCCCCGCCCTTTTTTCTTTCTCTTCTATTCTTTGTATGTTATGAATCATATTCTGTACTCTGTCTATCACTTGGGTGACATCTATTTAGCTTTAAGAACACTTCCATCTATAGGAGTTCCTCCAAAATACACTGTAGAGGTGGTTTGTGGGAGGTAAATTCTCTCAACTTTTTCTTATCTGAAAATTGTTTAAGCCCTCATTCAAATTTAAATGATAACCTTGTCAGGTAGAGTATTCTTGGTTCAAGGCTCTTGTGCTTCATTGCATAAAATATATCTTGCCACTCCCTTCTGGCCTGTAAGGTTTCTGTTGAGAAGTCTGATGATAGCCTAATGGGTTTTCCTTTATATGTGATCTTTGTTCTCTCTCTAGCTGCTTTTAAAAGTCTTTCTTTATCCTTGATCTTTGCCATTTTAATTATTATATGTCTTGATGTTGTCTTCCTTGGGTCCCTTGTGTTGGGAGATCTGTGCACCTCCGTGGCCTGAGAGACTATCTCCTTCCCCAGATTGGGGAAGTTTTCAGCAATTACCTTCTCAAAGACACTTTGTATCCCTTTTTCTCTCTCTTCTTCTTCTGGTACCCCTGTAATACGCATATTGTTCCTTTTGGATTCATCACATAATTCTCTCAATATTCTTTCATTCTTATTTTTTCTCTTTGTGCCTCAGCGTCTTTGTATTCCTCTTCTCTAATTTCTATTCCATTTACCGTCTTTTCTACTACATCTAATCTGCTTTTAAATCCCTTCATTGTGTATTTCATTTCAGATATGGAATTTCTTAATGATTGAATCTCCAACTTAAATTCATTCCTAAGTTCTTTAATGTTTTTCTGTACCTCCATAAGCATGTTTATGATTTTTATTTTGAACTATCTTTCAGGCAGATTGGTGAGTTCAGTTTCATTTGACCCTTTTTCAGGGGTTTGTGAGATTTTGGTCTGAACCATGTTCTTTTGATGTTTCATATTTCTGTGTGGTGCTCACTAGTGCCCAGAAGCTCCAGTCTCTGGATCTACTCAGCCCCTAGAGTGAGGTTGGAGGTCATAGGGGAGCTGCACTGGTGCCTGGGGGGAGGAAAGGTCTGTTTCCTGATTCCCGTCTGTGGTGCCTGACTCCAGTGTCAGAGCCAGTGGGCCGAGCACACAGATGTCAGCCTCTGTACTTTGCATCTCTAGCCATTGTAGGCTTAGACTCCCTCTGGCTGGCCTGACAGCAGCACAGTGACTGCAGGTTTGTGAACCAGTGTTGGCAGGCCAGGAGGAAGGCTCGGCAGGCTGCATATCAGAGTGGGGGGCCTCGGAGCTGAGCAAATAGGCAGGAGGATGGGGCACCTGAAGCTCCTCTAAGTTCCCAACCTGCTGGGCAGAGTGCACCCGGAAAACCTCACCCAGCTCTCCCCTGCGCAGCAAGCTCCATGCCAACCCCACCCCTTCAGCAGCCCTCTTGCTGCTAGGAAGCCTCTCAGACCACCTGCCTTTCCTTTGTCCCAGAGCAGCTGGGTGTGGATCCCATCCTCCACAAATGGCTGGAATCTGTCTGTCAGGCACTCCTCCTGTCTGAGCTCCCCAATGTCCAGAGCACCATGCAATGTAGGTTTCTGCTCCCAAAGCAGACCTCCAGGGCTGGGTGTTCAGCAGTCCCCAGCTTCTACCCCATCCCTGTTCCATTTCTCTTCCTCCCACAGGTGAGCTGGGGTGGGGGAAGGGCTTGGGTCCCACCGGATCAAGGCTTTCGTAAGTTACCCTGTTTTGTGAGGTCTGCTCTGTTTGTTAGGTCTGTGTGCAGTCTGGTTTAGCCTTCTTTCTTGTTGTTTTAGGGTTAGTTGTATCAATTAACTGCATTTTCGTACTGTCTGTGGTTTTGGGAGGAATTCTCCATCTCACCTCTCACACCGCCATCTTCTTGAATTATTTTTGAAGTAGAGTTGACATAATATAGTAGTTTCTGGTGTATAGCATTGTGATTTGATAATCATGTAGATTACAAATGCCCACAGTGATAACTGTAGCTGCCATCTATCACCACATGAAGTCATCACAATATTATTGATTATATTTCCTCTCATATACTTTCATCTCCTTGACTTATGTATTTTCTAAATGGACATTTGTACCTCTCAATCTCCTTCACCTATTTTACCCATGTGGCAACTACTAGTTTGTTCTCTGTATTTATGAATCTGTTTCTGTGTTGTGTATTTTGTTTATTTGTTCATTTTTCTTTTTAGATTCCACATGTAAGTGAAATCATATGGTATTTGTCTTTCTCTGTCTGACTTGACATTCTAATTTATACTACCATTTGACCTCATTTTCAAAGTCATTTTGCAATGACTATAAAAACTATGAGACTATTGGTGAAAAATCCTATTTTAAAATAATTCTTGTCCATTTTATTCTGTCTATAGCATTTCTAACATAACATCTGACACATAGGCATTTCCAAGTACCTGTTTTAAATAATCAATCGAATAAAGAAGTTTCTTAATGTATTACAGTAAATAATCAATCAAATAAAGAAGTTTCTTAATGTATTACAGTTATATGACTCACAGCTATTTAGCAACTCTGTATCTTTTTAACTATGTCAGAAGCTACTGCTTAGTGTTAGGTCATCCAGGATGTAAATAAGGGCACAAACAGCCCATTTTCTGAAATTATTTCATATTTTGAAAATATCACAGTTTTTATCATGGAAAAAAATTAAAAAGTCTGTTGGATATCTTAATACTGAAATTTTTGTTTTGTTTTAATGCATGAAGTGGAAGGACCTAATAACATTTTGATGCTCAGAATTTAAAACATCTTAAACCAAACTTGATATTCCTTAATAACTGGAAATTTAAAAGATGTGAAACTGTCCACCATGCCTACTGCTTTGGATGCCATAAAGTCATAAAGTTTGAGTCATGGTTGAAAATCCAGCTTATTTCTACATCTCTATATAATATTGTCTATTCAAATATCAAACAAATAATCTGACTCATGGGTATTTTATTTGAACTTTCTGAAGAAGAAAAGGATGAAGAACATTATTTCAGTGACTGTTAGTGATCGTCAGTGTTCTAAAAATTCCCCACCTTTTTTGTTTGCTATCTGTGAATAAACAACTTCATAAGGCTAAGTGACTGGCAGGGCATACCTTTTTGCCAAGTCCAGGACCACAGAGATAAATGGCACATTTCTTTCTGTGAGCTTTGGACATGTTTTCTGACTTAACTATTAATTCTAACCAACTTGTCTGCTACTCTAATGCCTGGGAATTTTAAGATTATTGTGAGTAAGCAACACAATGCTTCCTGTTAGTACCAAGATGTATCAAGATAATTTGATTCTGTCTATAGCATTTCTAACATAACATCTGACACATAGGCATTTCCAAATACCTGTTTTAAATAATCAATCGAATAAAGAAGTTTCTTAATGTATTACAGTAAATAATCAATCAAATAAAGAAGTTTCTTAATGTATTACAGTTATATGACTCACAGCTATTTAGCAACTCTGTATCAAGATGTATCAAGATGTATCAAGATAATTTTCTCTTTTTTTATTTTTCAGAGCCATGCACATTATCTTTTATTGAAATGGAAAAGAATAATTTACTCCTGAAATGGAATTTTGACAATAGACCATCAATTTTCCATGGCGAGTATGTTGAATTTCTTTGTAGAAGAGATACTTATATAGCTGAGTCATCTATTGGATCTGAAGTTAGAGTGCAGTGTGACAGAGGGCAGTTGAAATACCCAAGATGTGTCCAAATAAAAAGGTAAGAAGATGCCTGTGCCTACAACTGTTTTCTGGTCAGATTGTATTCAAGAGATTTATTATGTTATGTATTTCAGAAGCATTATGCTCTGCAACATTCCCACTTTATGGTCATTATAAAGGAAAAAAATAATTTTCTTTCTTCTTTTTAAACCAAACAAACTCTTAGCAGTATTAATTAATTCAACTGCTTTCTCCAGTGTCTGAAGTCAAAGCATTCTTTGCTATTTATTATTTGTGATACTCTGACAATTTGGTAAATAAGTCAGTTTTTTTGTGTAATATTTAAATGTGGAAAAATCAGCCTTTAAGTGTTCTGAGATAGAAAATCATAACTTCCCCTCTTCCCAGTGTAGGTTAATGTATCAAAAAAGATTGGAAACACAGTTGTACAAATCTTTCTACTGGTAGACAAGATGTTAATAACAGTGATTTAAATTATAGTATTTATTTTCAGGAACACATTTCTATGTAAGAATTTGGAATGACTTACTGAAGTGTTTCCTCATATGGCATTTAAAAAAATATATTTTCTATTTCTTGATAAATGGAAAATAATCCTGTTCTTTCTTAAAAATATATTTTTAAAATGCAATAAAATAATGTAATTAATTTTATAGGTTCCAGCTTTTGATCCTCTTGAAGATATAATATAAAATAAAAATTAAATTTTATGTTCAACTAACAGTATTACAAAAATAACTTATGGCAAAGTATATGGGTACTGTTGTACTAATTGTAAACAGTAAGATATATGCAGTCCTTAGGACAGCTTTTTAGATATTTTGAACACTCTAAAAGAAGCATCCATAAGATACACACAGGTGGAAAACATTTTTATTTTATAACTGGCTAAAGTCGGCATAGAAAATTTCACATGCTATTTAAATATTTTAGTATGTATTGAATTTCTCATTTCCAATGAAAAAGAAGAAAGTAACTTAGAAAAAAATTATAAAATGAATAGTGTTAGTGTAAAATGGCATTGAGTTTTTTAAAAAGAAATCAGTGGTGTGATTTACCAAGTACAGTTACTTGCTTTTATCAATACATAGTTGAAACAATAGTTATATGAGATGCTGAACGGCTCAGATTGTAGTAAACACTTGAGAAATCATGTTTATTGTAAAAATATCTCTCCCTCTCTCTCATCAAGGACACTGTCTTATCAAGAACCTTTAAGGACAAAGAAATAAATGGCAGAAAGAAGAATAGTAGTCCAACACATCATAAAATCCTTTGTAAAACATCATTTTTAAAGAAAAATGTTGAATTAAAAGCCTGTAAGTTTTTAGAAGATTTGCTTGCTTGACCCGATTTGACTGTAAATTGTGTATGCTGAATATTTTCTTTATTTATAAATCAAAGCCAGAACATGTTTTGTAACCCGGGCTGGAGCTTGGTCCCAAACCCATGCTCTGCTGTTCTTCACTGAAAAGGCCACACAAGAGGTTAGTGGCAGTGTCGGTGGAAAGGAGATGGTGCTGTATTCAGGAAGCCAGGGACTAGGGAAGAAGGTAGCAGACTAGTCTCCCAGGACCATCTTCAAAATGTGGGTCATGGGAAGGGGCTTTTTTTTTTTTTTGGTATCATTGATCTACAATTACATGAAGGACATTATGTTTACTAGGCTCCCCCCTTCACCAAGTCCCCGCTACATCCCTGTTCACAGTCACTGTCCATCAACATAGTAAGATGCTGTAAAATCACTACTTGTCACCAAGTTCACAGTCACTGTCCTTCAACATAGAAAGATG